GTGCCGCATAAAGGGGGAGGATCAACTCTCTGGACCTGCTCGAGTAGTAGTAGTGGAGAGTCAGTTAATTTTGCTACATGTACCCAGGACCAGATCCTAATTTCATATAATAAGGTGATGAGAAAGATTGAAATCTCCAATATGCCAGCACAGTTTAAAGTTTCAACTGTTGGAAGTAAATGTTTTTCTTTTGCAAAAAGTTGTATTGCTACTGGCACTGCATGGTTAAGTGTTTTTGTCTGATGCATGAATGAGAGTTCTGCGCCGACTTACAAGGAGCCAAGAATTATTGGCAGTTTCTATCATCACGCAGTGTCTTAGTGGGCACATCTACACATGCTATTAAATGCGAATGAATAGACTCTGATGCAGTTCATGCCAGAGTTTATTGCTCCCAGGCACTGCATTTACACATGCGCCCAGGACCATAGCATGTTGAGCCAGGTCAGAGCAACCCCGGCTGGCAGGGGGCCCTGGAGGCTCAACATGCTGTGGAGGGGCTGGCTGGGCCACAAGGGCACTCCAGTGTGGGGACAGTTGGCAGGCTATGTGCACTGGACATCTGTTGTGTTACAGGTTTAAACCCATTTCTGATCATTTAAACTGGTTTGTGTGTAATGTCTGTCCCTAGCCATAGGGTTATATTGGACTCGGGAACTAAGAGTCGCATGGAACTTGTGGCCCCTCTTACAAATGCCAGGACCCCCACAGTTGTCATCCATGGATCATTTACTCCATAAGTACCTGAAGTAGAGGGTTTTTTTCCCCATGGATGCTGGATGAGGAGAAGGGTGCTGACAAAAAGGCTCCTGCTACTGAAAAACTGGTTGAATACCTGTGGGCTGAGGCCAGCTCTGGAGAACTCCCAAAGTCCCCAGAGGATGTTATTTTCCCCCAAATATGCTAGGAATGAATACTACTAAAGTTTCTCTGATCCCTCCCTACATCCCCCAAGACAAAATATACTGCTGTTTTGACTTCATACATTCAAATCCCCCAGTGCATAGTGGAGCAATGAATAGATTAAACACGTGTAAACTGACAGCAACAATTAATCTCTACGTAGTTTAATGGCCACAGTTAATGGCCACAAAGGGAGCCAGAGCTCTAAGTAGCAGAAGCAGTGAATTGGGAATCAATAAGAAGAGTTTAGTTCTTAGGTCAGTTCTTCCTAAAGGAGCTACACAACAAGACTTGGTTCTGCCTCAGAAGTTCTAGCACATGGGCATACAACTTACAAATCCATCGCTTTTAACAAACAGGTTTAAACAGAGTCCAGATGATATCAGTGGGGCTGAGACATTACAGGACAATTGTGGCAAGCAAGACCAGTATAATAATTTGCCACCAATATCTGTCCATTAGCATTTATGATTCAAATAATTTCTTGCTTTTGCTAGAACTAGCTGGCTTATGAATAAAGCAGATGCATCAATAATCTGATTCACAGCTCAATAAGCTAAAGAAATGGCGTTGAATTCTGATGTCTCTGTTATAAAGAGAAAATACAACATGAAAAAGCTATCTGAATATTATCAAACATTTTGTTGGCAAGGAAAATCCATTTGTATATTAACCATGGGTATCTGCAGCCTCAAAACAAAGTATCCTATGAGAAAAAATGTACAGGCAGTCCCCAACTTATGACTTTGAGTTGCAACAAATGTCACTTACAACATTTATAAACTGAGACCCTGTTTCGACATTCCAACGTGGGTTTCGACTTTACAACGGTT